TTTTTAGCACATTAAATAAATATGCCAGCGTGTACCATCGGTGAAACGTGTTAAATAAAATAAAATTTTGTACAGTATCGAGAAACGACATTACCTACGGGTACCCTTGATATTTATCTCATGAAACACATACATATTGAAAACTCTTTGAGCCAATGGAGAAAGAATCGTAGTTTAGTGCATGTGTGTGCGTGTTGTTGTCGACAGTTGGCAGTAGTGGGGGGCGAATCTCGTCAAAAGTTTTTGACAGCGAAGAGGAGGGGGGTGGCATGCGACGTGCCTGCTCGCTGAGTGATCTTTCCGTCAGCCCGCCAAATAGGTTACTGCATGGCCCGATACAAGGTACCCTTTCATTCTGCGCCACATCCACGAGGGTTTTTCCAACGACACTCGTTCAAACGAGCCTCGGAGAACTTACATCTTCTTTCTGCGATTTAGAACGCTAGAACTACCAAGATAGTCGAAACGACCGGTTTAAATGTCGAACTTGGATATTGCTCTGTCGGTAATACTACTTCGTTCAAAATATTCATCAAGAGATTTAAATGATTTTTCGTAAAATAAAAGTTACCATACAAGATTGTATTATAAAATATTCTTCCTTTTTTTTTTTTTTTATTTTAATGTTTTTCATGGAAATTTTGTTCACTTCAATCGTTGGTAGTTCCAGTGTTAATCGAAACGACAGTTCTCTATTAGTTGCCAAAGTCACGGCACAAAGTAGTACGAGTGGAAATTACTTTGGAACGACCCCCTTGTTACATAGACTACAGAACTAGGGACTTGAGACGACGTTTCGATATTTTGATCATGTCGTCGATGGCCTATATAAACCTCTGTACGAACAATATTTAAAGTCGTTTGAACTTGAATGTTGCTCTATCGGTAATAGTACTGCTTCATTCAAAAACAGTTCTATCTTTATTTTTCTTTTTTCTGTTTTAAAAATTTATTGAACGTGCGAAATGAACATTTTTTTGTCCATGCAATTTAATAAAGATAAAGATATCTCGCACAACTTCGGATTTAGGAACGAATTTAAAATTACTTTGAATTTGAATATTGCTCTGTCGGTAATGTTGCTGTTTTCAAAATATCGAACAGTCTTGTCTTTATTATTTTTTTTTTTTTTTTCGTTGTACTTTTTAAATCCTATGCAATTTAATAAAGATAAAATCTTGCGAAAGGTGAATTTTTGTTAATCTGCGGTAATAGTTTCAGGAAAAGTAGGTAAAAATACCAATGTTTCGGCGAGAAGTGGACTAGGAGGTGCGACCAGTGGGAATCAGTTGCGGCACAGCTCGACGAAGAATCATTCCTCTCACATGACAAGAAGTAGCAGCGTTGGCGTCTTGAATCAGGTACATACACCTTACACCACGTTGCATCACACCGTGAGAGATTTGTTCTTTGCCTAAACGAATAATGTTGCAGAGCGATTCCGAGTCGGATGTCGGAGCAGGGAACAACAGCAGGGGTTGGAACAGTCAAGCAGGAAGTAACAGAATAAGCGGGCTGATGAGGCCGACGATCAGTTCGCAGAACAAGATCAATCATCAAGCCAAATCCAACTCCTCTTCTAACAGCAACTTCCCTTCCGTTCTTAGAAGAAGAGGCATGCAGGGGGCCTATTCAAGTGGTAATTTCCCCTGAGTTTAACCCAGAGCTTAGGAGATACCTGAGAACGACTTGATTTTAACAATACTGTACGCATTCTTTCTCAGTGAATCTAAGTCAAGTGGGTAATCAAGAGGATTCCAGCTCGGAAGACACTTCTTCCAATGGGAACGGTGGGAAACCAGCACTCCCCCCGAGACCTCGAAGCATCAGCATCGATCACTCTGCCGCGAGGTACGTTAAATTTTGTCACTCGTTTGCTGATACGTTAGCTTGACCGTGTATTTCATTTCTACAGCTTGAGTCTACCTGGTACGACAGTGAGGCGGTCAGGATCAACGACCATCATAACTAACGGTCGTAACGGAAATGGCACGATAGGACAGAGTGCGAGTCGGATGACGGCAACGAGTCGCAATCAGTTAGATCCTAGCCCTCAGGAACTTCCAGTTAAAGACACTGATCGTGCCATTGATGTAGCCAGTGCTGAATGTAAATAATTTCGTTTGTTCTTTTTTTCTTCTTCTTTTGTTTTTTTCTTACATGCGTGTTGTTGTGTGTTTCCTCACGATTCACGATTCATCTTGTCGTTCTTCAAAGTGTCAGCATGCAAGATTGCAAGAGACTAAACTACTTTATGTTAGTACAACACGTAACGTAAATTTCGAACGATTGGTACTGAGTTTTTTTTTTT